TGTCTTTTTAGTTAAAATGTATAGTTCTTTCTGTTGAAATTTTCTCTTCTCCATACATGTTATCAGTGAGTATATATACCAGCTTCCTCGTTAGTCTGTATTACAGTTCTGTAGCAGTGGTACTTCAGGAGCTGAGGTTACCGCAGTTTTTCTCTTTACGCACAGCTGCAGGATCTGGTTCTGTGGGATGGTACTGGTGAACGTTACTGAGAGTGGCCTGTCATGTTACATGATTTATGGGCTTGCCACAGGGGTGGTATTGCAGGACTGTTTTCTCTGTGTGTCAGCTCACAGTTTCTGCTACAGTCTGCTACTTCAACAGAGCATGACACCTGTACCCATTTTTAGCCTAATAGCAAGTTAAAGTGTTCACGTTAACCCTTTTTGGGGTATCATGAGAGTATGGTGGGAGGAAGGTGCAAGAACTAAGCAAGGGTTTCAAGAAATACTTGTGTTCACCAAGAAGATGTCAGTAAAATTGTCTTTCCTGGTCAAGATTGAAGATACCATGACGCATGTGCTCAAGAGGTCTGCCAAGAAAAGTTCAGCAGAGCATCTAACGTCCCTTTGTGCTGGCATGTCCTCATAACTGCGGGGCAGTAATTATAACTTGCTGATGTGACCTTGGAGGTTTATATACTCCGTTGGCAACTGGATGTGGTTGTGGAATGCTTCCAAGTATCCCACTTTTATCACTATTAGAAGAATGACTTATGTATTTCTAAAAGTCACTTCATTTTTTGAGATCTGCTTTCACAAATTGATAAAGAATGAGGTTTTGTGAGAAAACCAAGAAACTTGCAGATATAACACAGATTTTTGTTTATTTTTATAATAAGCTTTGGGCACCTAAAACAAAAAGGTCCAAGTAAGAAATACTCCCTTTCGCTTTTGAGCTGGTAGAGCTATGTTTTAGAGATAATTAAAGCCTGTAACATGTGAGAAGGAACAACTTCACAAAATGATATCAGAGATGTTTCACTTCCAGGCATAAGCTGGCCCCAGAGTTAGTTCTTCCTGCACACTTTCATGAAGTTGTGGTGCTTAGGTCTTCCAAGGAGTAGGAACAGGTCCCTCAAGACCTGTTAGGGAGTTCCCAGGCTTTCTTTGCAGTTTTTTTTCACCTTTTTTTATATGACAAGTTTCTCTGCTTATTCTTTCATGTTTTGACTCAGTATATATAACACCTCTTTAACACATGTATAACTGCACAGTTGCATGTCTGAATATGTCATTTGATGCATGTTCATAGCAATACTTGCATGTACTTATACATGAAATGTTTTGGTCTTTCATTAATTCTTCTACAGCTCCTTTGAAAATTTTCTACAATTTTTTTTGTTTCAAAGTGAGAACAATTAGCATTTGATAAACTTAGAGAAACAGATCTTAGTTAACAGTAGAAGGCTGCTCAAAACGTACCTTATTGTGGGATTCTTACTGCGATGGTTCTTGCTCTTTCCATTTGTTCTATCACAGATGTGTTGCAAGTATTATTACAAGGTTTTTAACTACTTTTTTTCTAGAAGGAGCAAGAGCCCCTCAACCTAGCAAATTACCCATAAATTACAGTTTTATTGTTGGTAAAGAGTAAATGCTTCTAGCATGTAGATATTGAGAAAGAGCTTCCATTTTTCTGGTGTCAGAAAATGGAAACTTTTAAATTTATAAGAGCTCTTCCCTATCTCATCTTATCATATCTGATAATCTTACAAAGTCATCTTCTTCATGAAACAGAAATAAAAATTAAATAGTTTTCTTCTTGAACATAGGTAAATATAGAAAGCCAGCATGTGGTACGATTTGCTCCAAAGTAGTGTACCATAAACCTTCATCAGTAGATTTCTTTTGAAATAATAATCTCTGATCGGTGTTTCATCAAGTTCGTTTTAGTGTTGTCTCAAGGTATAACATACGTCCCCCAGTGTATTTCTGTGCCTTGTTGAAAATTTTTTCTAATTTAGATTGCTTGAATATTGTCATGACTGGGTACTAGCAGCTGCTCTAGGTAGCAGCAGGTTTTCGTCTGTGCTGTAATTCCTGCACATTCAGGAGAGGTGTGCGCATCTGCACATCTGTCTACATACACTCCTAGACAAGCAATTCTCGGCCATCTACCCATCACTTCTGCCTTTCTGTCATTTGCCCTTGTACATCGTATGCCCCATCTGCAAATTTCATCCCTTCCTCACTTACTCCCATCCTCCCTCCATCCACATACTCCAGCTTCCACCTCCCTCAGTGCTGTTTTTCCTTCTCTGCAGGAGGCAAAGGGACCCTCTCTGTCTGGTTTTCTTTAGGTAGTTACACTGATGTGGTGACAGCTTCTGGTAGCTGCCTGTGTGCTTGTGTTCTTCCTGTGGCTCAAGTAAGCCTGCCCACAGAGGCAACGAGGAGTTCGTATCACTTACATATTCAGAGATACTCAGTGCTACCAGTGACAGTCATGTTGTGGCTGGGAGCCTCTGCTGTACAATTGTCATGAAACTGAATTAAGTTCTTCATTCTGAAATTTAATTCAATGTACTTTACAAGTACAGAATACAAAAGCAAC